CTACCTACCTACCTATCTACCTATCTACCTATCTACCTATCTATGTCTCTTATATAATCCACCATATGTTGTGATTAGCAGCTGCATGCATATTTAAAAGGCCAATAGACTCCATACTGCTGACTAGGTTCTGTTTCAAAATACGTACAGATACAACAGATTGGTCTATAAAGTTGGAGAATAAACGCTAACTCTGGTTTCTAGAACCTTATTCGTATTGAAGGCTTTTATCCAAATTATGATGGACCTTTTTTTAAAAAATGTTGACCTTGTATTTTTCTTTGCCCAATTAAACCTCAGTTCTCTTTCACCAGTGGACCTAGCATAACATCAGGAGTACTTAGCTGCTGAATGGATGTATCATCTAACTCAAGAGACAATATAATATTTATATAAGGTGGCAGTCCTATCTAAATGTATGGAATTTATTTTCAAGCAAACACGTGTAACGTTGACGTTTTTAATGGAGCAGCTGTTATCTTTCTCTCTTTTTTTTAAAAAAAACCAAAACAGGAAAGACTCCTAAAGGAGACACGTGTTATACAACGAGCAAAACCAAGTTAGAGCCAACATTATGTGAGACCAGTTTCACCCAAATAGGTTTGGTAAGCAATTAAATTTATCAGTTACATGTCTGACCGATCTTAAGTGCTTTTTAAGCTATTCCGCTATATGCTCGACAAATCTTCACGAGTACAAAATAATGCAAACTACATAGAACATAAAATATTAGAGTTGGAAGGGACCATGAATATCTTCATAGAATAGAATAGAATGGAATAGAATGGAATGGAATATAAAATGAATAGAATAGAATAGAATAGAATAGAATAGAATAGAATAGAATAGAATAGAATAGAATAGAATAATGAAAAATAGAATAGAATTACGGAATAGAGTAGAGTAGAGTAGAGTAGAGTAGAAGTTGGAAGGGACCTTGGAGGTCTTCAACCCCCTATTCAGGCAGGAAACCCTATACCATTTCAGACAAATGGCTGTCCAGTCTCTTCTTAAAAACCTCCAGTGTTGGAGCATTCTCAACTTCTGGAGGCAGGTTGTTCCACGGGTTAATTGTTCTGACTGTCAGGAAATTTCTCCTTAATTCCTTCTGGGAACTGCGGAAAGGACTGTGTTGGAGATTGGAGACAGAGGATGTCGTAAATGAACAGCCTTCTCTCAACAGAGGGGGTGGGATACGACACAATCTATCTCCAGTCTACAACACAGTCCTTTCTGCAGTTCCAAGAAGGCTCCACACCCATTTGCACACCTACTCAGGTGACCCTGAGGACACAGGTAAGCCTCTAAATGGTCCCAAGGAGTCTCTAAATTAAGAATGCAAATGAACCGCTGTTTGCAAGGAATAGAAATCCTTCCACTCCCCACCATCCAGTCAGAGCTGAAGAAGCTTCTTGAATGAGAAGCGAAACGTCTTCAAAGAAAAAAAAACAGGAAAGTACAATTGCCTCGTGAAAAAAAAGCACCTTTGGAACAACCAAAGGCAAGAAAAACCAAATGTTCCAATATCTCAAGGGCTGCCCCAAAGAAGAGGGTGTCAAGCTATTCTCCAAAGCGCCTGAAGGCAGGACAAGAAGCAACGGATGGAAACTAACCAAGGAGAGAAGCAACCTGGAACTAAGGAGAAACTTCCTGACAGTGAGAACAATTAACCAGTGGAACAACCTGCCTCCAGAAGCGGTGAATGCTCCAACACTGGAAGTTTTTAAGAAGAGACCGGACAGCCATTTGTCTGAAATGGTATAGGGTTTCCTGCCTGAGCAGGGGGTTGGACTAGATGACTTCCAAGGTCCCTTCCAACTTTATTATTATTATTATTACCAGGACCTGGGGGACTGAGAATCTCCACAGTGTTCATGTAATATTAACAAGCATTATTTAGAACGTATTAACTAAAACACATACGTTAGAAGTAATAGCACTCACGAAGTTGAAGTGTCCCACTTCAGTCTGTCAAAACCGGTTTAAAGATTGAAAAAACATTTGGTTTATCATTGCAGTCTCTGCCGGAGCCTAAAACCTTGGTCCCGAGGCAGAGGGAGGTGCCAACTTTAATTTCCCAAGAAAATACATCTCTAACTCACAGGTTCAAGAGAGGAAACATAGGACTGTCACATTCTAAGGTGAGATCGGTGCTCAGTTCAGATTAAACTGACCCTCCCGTTCTTTTAAGTGAGAAATGTTCACGAAACCGGCCGTTTTCACGTGGCGGTTTCCCTTTTCCCCCCACGTACAACATTTCAGTTTAGCGAAATCTCCGTCAGTGCCAATAAAAGATCCTCTTGTTTGATGCCTTCAAGCCGCAACTATCCAACCTGCCGTCGGGATGTTAATTCTGGTGCCTCTGTTCATGCCTACATTGAGGCTCTAGCATAGGGGTAGGCAACCGTGGCTCTTTTATGACTCGTGGACTTCAACTCCCAGAATTCCTCAGCCAGCCTGGCTCAGCTTGGAAACCTCTCCCTTTCCCCTCAGCATGGCTGGCTCGGGAATTCTGGGAGTTGAAGTCCATCAGTCATAAAAGAGCCAAGGTTGCCTACCCCTGGTATAAATTCTCCTGTCTGAGCAGGGGGCTGGACTAGAAGACCTCCAAGGTCCCTTCTGCTCTGTTATTTTGTTAGTCCTCAAGACCTGGCTAGCTGGTTGAATTTGAGCCAGTCACTCCCTCTAGGCCAGGGATAGGCAACCGTGGCTCTTTTATGACTGGTGGACTTCAACTCCCAGAATTCCTGAGCCAGCATGGCTCAGCATGGAAACCTCTTTCCCCTCAACATGGCTGGCTCAGGAATTCTGGGAGTCGAAGTCCACGAGTCATAAAAGAGCCAAGGTTGCCCACCCCTGCCCTATATCAGGGCTCCACAACCTTGGCAACTTTAAGACTGGTGGACTTCAACTCCCAGAATTCCTGGGCCAGCGTGGCTCAGCTTGGGAACCTCTCCCTTTCCCCTCAGCGTGGCTGGCTCAGGAATTCTGGGAGTTGAAGTCCACGAGTCATAAAAGAGCCAAGGTTGCCTACCCCTGCTCTATCACTAGAAACTTTGAATTGGACTTATTAGGAATAACAAGGAATCCTAAAACACAAAACACCCTATTGCTAATATAGGGACATCTAATTAGCATAAGTGTACTGAGCATCAACGTCACAAGGATGTCATTTTCCATGCTCATTTTGCTATTCTTCTCCAGTCTTCCCAGGTAGAAGCGCTATCTCGGCCTCAGCTGCCATCCCAAGAGAACGGCCGCCGTGGAGCCAACAAAGTTTTCCGACAGGTATTCGCCCAGGAATGTCGGTAACAGAAGACACCCGTGATGGACGATCTTCCAATGAAGACCATCTGAACTGACTATTTAAAGCAGAGATCTCCAACCTTGGCCACTTTAAGACTTGTGGACTTCAAGTCCCAGAATTCTTCAGCCAACATGTGGCCAAGTTTGGATACCCCCTGCTTTAAAGCAGTACTTTCTCAACCTTGGCAACGTTCAGTTGGGTGGACTTCAACTCCCAGAATTCCTACGCTGCCCGTCACACCGATAAAGCGGGATTGTGGGAAATCCAAAGGAGACAAAGGGGCGTTTGGGTGTGCGGGAACGGTGTCCCTCGCTTGCCTTCCGCCTCCAGCCTTAAATGGCCATTTCCAGGTAGTCTTTGGCTTAGGACCTCAACGGCGCCCAAAATTTCCGTTGTCAAATTTGTTACGTGAACTTTGCCCCGGTTTACGACCTTTCTTGCCCCGGTTGCTAAGTGAAACGCTGCAGTCGTTAAGTTACTAACACGGTTGTGAAGTGAATCTGGCTTCCTGCATTGACTTTGCTTGTCAGACAGTCGCCAAAGGGGAATCGCGTGACCCCGGGACGCTGCAACCGTCATAAATACGAGTCAGTTGCCAAGCGTCCTAATTTGGCTCATGCCGCAACGGTCATAAGTGTGAAAAACGGTCATGCTTCTTTTTTCAGTGCCGTTGTAACTTCAAACAGTCGCTAAACAAACTGTTGTAAGTCAAGGACTATCTGCGTAGGAGTCCAAAGAGATGGCCAGCTGCTGGGACCGTAGAAAGGGGCTGGGGTCCTTGGTTTTCTGATGATTATCCTTCTACAAAAACGTGCATATAATACACTAGGAAAGCTGACTGCTGTATAAACTGTGTTTCGTCCTCAGAAATTAAACAGCAACATCAAGGCCCTCCCTCACTTGGACTGCCCAAAACCAAGTTTGGTGACGACTGCTTTGAAGCCCCCCCAGCTAGATGCTCTTTTCCCCCAAATAGCCGCTAAGAACTTGCAGCCTGTCACGACTCTACATCCGGTAAGTTTCCTCCACGGGGGAAATAGAAATGGCAAGAGCAGGAAATCAGGAGTCCAGGCGGTTGAAAGGAATACAGGTTTATTGTATGCTAACCCTCTCTACAACAGAGGTCTCCAACCTTTCTCGGTTGGCCGGCCGGAGGGAACAGGAGGGGGAAGCATTTTACGCATGCACATGTGTGCGCACACAAACAGGGCCATGAGCACACGTGACGCAAACGGGGCGGTGCTAGCACCTGCGTGACACTCAGCACCACCCTGTTTTCATTGCGCGGAGCCCCGTTTTTGCTGTGCAGCGCCCCAATTTCACAACGGCAACAGCGCCCTGTTTTTGCCATGCTGTTTTTGCCACACCACTCCATTTTTGCCATGATAGCGGTGCCCCATTTTCACCACACGGTGCCCCGTCTTCACCATGGCAGTGGCGCTAGCGTAAGTAGAGCTCAGCACGCAGACAGACGTGCATGCCCTGTCCAGCCTGTTCTGCGGCTCACTGGCCAGCAGGCCACGGCCCGGCAGTAGGCCACGGCCCACCAGTTTGAGACCCCTTCTCTACAAGAATCTGACCTACTAACGGTCAAAGCAAATTGGCGGTAGATAAGAGTCGACGGAACTCAAAGTGGGCTGCACTGCGGTCTCTTGTCTAAGGAGAAACAGGGTAAACTCCAAAACTGCGAAAGTGCATTTTTAATTCCTGATTCTCGTACAAGGTTCATTTTGCAAAAACCAGCCACGCGCCCTTATTTTTATTTTTTTTTTATCCTGGTGATATTTTTTTTACCTTGTAACCCCCCTGAAAGTTGGTTTTTTTGAGCCTGGCAGAGAAATTAATAAATCACGGAAATCATAAAGTTGCTTTAAGAAAAACAAAACGAAACTCTTGCGACTTTGCAGGATAACCGATCTCAAGTCCAGCCGTTGCCACTCACCCTCTCTGAAAACATCCCCAGAGGGCTAAGCAGTAAATCTGGAGACGTCGAGAAGAGTCACAACCTCAAGTTCCCGCTAACTTCAGCAGGTACAATCCTTGCATAAATGCTAAAGGAAACATAGCAGGGAAACTTCTATATAGCAGTGGTGGCAAACCTATGGCACGCGTGCCAGAGGGGGCACTTGGAGCCCTCTCTGTGGGCACGCGCGCCTCGCTCTTTGGCTAAGTTTTTGCAGGAAAAAGCCATTTCTCGAGCCCCTTCCTAGCCAAAACAAACCTTCAGAGCGAGCGCGCTGTTTTCAGCTTTGAATTATATCAAACCTGACACCAGAAACAGACTAACAGAGGACCTGAGTTCTGCATGTGTTGCTTTCAAACTTACAAAGTATAAGCCGAGGTTAGACAAATGATCAGCATGCATACAACAGCAAAAATCACATCAGTTGTTCAAAAGCACGCCAAATGCAAACTTTAACCTTTCAGTAAAAAGTTGTATCATTGAAAGCTTTGTTATTGTGTTTTTCTTTTAAGACAAAAGATGTTAACGTATGAGTTGTTTTTTTCTAAACTAAAACCTCAGTATTCGGATTAAATTGCCGTGTTGGCCCTTTGCGATAAATAAGTGGGTTTTGGGTTGCAGTTTGGGCACTCGGTCTCTAAAAGGCTCGCCGTCACTGCTATATAGTATCACCTTTCCCTCCAAACAAGGTGAGGATAACGTCACGGAAAACAAAACATCATTTAAAATTATCATTGAAGAGCATCTGGCTGAAGAGGGGAATTATGTCTCCTTTCCTCCCAAACCTAGATTGATTCAACCCTAACTCTGCCAATGGCACCTTCTAAAGTGCTTTCATATCTTTCGCTTTTTAAATAACCCTTTGGTTTCCTTCCCAAACTAGAAGCCTTGAAACACTTTAAGAGCCAACTAACCCAGCATGAACAACGAGAAATCAAGGACTATAAAGAGCTGTGGTTTCTTGGCCTGGGCGCAAAAAAGATTGAAGGCCACATTGATGCAGAGAACAGCAGCACCTACGATGACGATCACGGTTCCTATAAAAAGGTAAGAGACTGATATGGCGGCAGATCTTGGCATCCAGATCATGGCAGAACAAGCGCAGGGCAAAATCTCTGCAGCTGGAATGGGGTTGTTGTTGTTGTTGTTAGTTGTGAAGTCGTGTCCGACCCATCATGACCCTGTGGACAATGTTCCTCCAGGCCTTCCTGTCCTCTACCATCTTCTGGAGTCCATTTAAGCTCACGCCTCCATTGACTCCATCCAGCCACCTCATTCTCTGTCGTCCCCTTCTTCTCTTGCCCTCCATCTTTCCCAGCATCAAGCTCTTCTCCAGTGAGTCCTTTCTTCTCATTAGGTGGCCAAAGCACTTGAGTTTCAACTTCAGGATCTGGCCTTTTAAAGAGCAGTCGGGCTTGATCTCCTCTGGGACTGACCAGTTGGATCGCCTTGCAGTCCAGGGGACTCGCAGGAGTCTTCTCCAGCACCAGATTTCAAAGGCCTCCATTCTTTGGCGCTCAGCCTTTCTTATGGTCCCAACTTTCACAGCCATACATTGCAACTGGGAAAACCATGGCCTTGACTATATGCACTTTTGTTGGCAGGGTGATGTCTCTGCGTTTTAGTATGCTGTCTAGATTTGCCATGGGGTAGGAGATGCCCAAGATGGCCTGTGTGGTCTTATGTCTCACAGGAACTGGGTATGCCTAGTCTAACCAGGAAAAGAAATAGGGGTGACATGATCACTGTCTTCCAATACAGTGGTATCTCGGTACTCAACAATAGTTGACTCCTGGAGCAGGATGAGTATCATGAGTATCAAACAAAGTTTTCCCACAAGGAATAATGTAGTGAGTCCCAAGGCAGCCGACACAGACAAGTTCTAGCTTGTGCGTTGAGTACCGAACAAACGATGAGTTTTTTTCATGTCAAAATGCATTGAGTAACCAAATTTGATAAGTTTCAAAAGAGTTGAGTACCAAGGTACCACTCTATTTGAGGGGCTGTCGCAAAGAAGAGGAGGGTCAACCTCTTCTCCAAAGCGCCTGAAGGCAGGACAAGAAGCAACGGATGGAAACTCACCAAGGAGAGAAGCAACCTAGAACCATAGGAGAAATTTCCTGAGAATGAGAAAGATTAACCCGTGGAACGGCTTGCCTCTAGAAGTTGAGGGGGCTCCATCCATGGGACATAGAATGACAACGTATTTTTTTGCTTTATGCTTTGTGCTTGTTTTGTGAATAGGACCTGAGAAAGAGCAGAACATGTGCTATTTTTATTTTGTACGTTGTTGTCACTCTGTGTAGGTACTAAGTGACCATATTGCATATAGATACGAAATCCTGGCTGTGATTGGGAAAGGATCCTTTGGGCACGTTGTGAAGTGTTTGGACCACAAAACCGGTGAAAAAGTAGCGGTGAAAATAATAAGGAACAAAAAAAGGTACGATTGTCTGGGTTCTTTGGGTTTTGTTTTACATTTTATGAATAAAAATAACCGACTGGAAACTAATTGAACAGAGGATCGATTCCTAATTCGTTTTCGCTTAATTGTGGTTTATTATGAGGGTGAAGGTTCGTTCTCCGAGCTTGTGGGTTGGTTTCCGAACCTTTCGTTACGATTTATTATCTTTGGTGCGAGCGTTCGTTTATAACCAGAAGGTTAAAGGAAAAAAAATGGCCCGAGAAAAACCAGTGACGCAATTTGTTGCTCTAGGTTTCTGCCAAACATATTTGTGTGTGTGTGTGTGTTTAAATCCTTACAAATGCTTTCAGCTTTAGCTTGTAGATTACAAAGGAAAATGTTAATGTCATGGTTCCGACAGATGAAACTCTTCAAAGAACTTCGAGGCATTGTTTACCTTAAAGGATCTTTATTGGAGTAGCATGGCATCGGCACCAGCATAGTCGAAGCCAAAAACTGGATTCCCCTTCCCTGGGCGCATAGTATCAAAGCACAATTCCCTCCTCCAATTAACAGTCATAAATCACATTCTCCAATTAGCTTGAAATGCAGACTTTCCCTCCAGTTCTTCCACCCGCCATTTCTTATCATCTCTTATTTCAAAAGCCCTGAGTTCACACACTATTACAATATTGTTATGTCTAACTAATTCCCATCACATTCCTCCTTCTCCCCCGGTATCATCTAATTCTAAGAGTAAAGCATAAGAAAGATAAAGGCTGCATCTCCATATGCGGTCAAAGCAAGAACACCCGATGTTAGCAGCATTGACAGATAATCTTAAAAAGAGAAGATTATGGAACAGAAACAAAAGGCAATTAAGGACGCAACTAGCATTTGCTTAGCCCAGATTAGGTAGGTCTGCTAACATTAGTGCCTTGCCTTATGAGTAGTCCTTAGCTTATTGGGACTTTTCGTTGCTAAGCAAGGCCGTTATTAAATGAGTCATGCATGATTTTACAATTTTTGGGGGACACGGTTGTCAAAGGAAACACTGCAGTTGTTAAGTGGATAAGTAACTGCGAGATGGACCTCGGAGTCCTAGCTAGTGGACGGTCACTTAAACACGAGCCAGTCATGTGCAACAGCAGCCAAAAAAGCTGAGGAATTCTGGGAGTTGAAGTCCACCAGTCATAAAAGGGCCAAGTTTGAAGACCCCTGTCTTAAATCTAACAAACAAAATGGAGGCTGGCTGAGGAATTCTGGGAGTTGAAGTCCACCAGTCATCAAAGGGCCAAGTTTGAAGACCCCTGTCTTAAATCTAACAAACAAAATGGAGGCTGGCTGAGGAATTCTGGGAGTTGAAGTCCACAAGTCATCAAAGGGCCAAGTTTGAAGACCCCTGGTTTAGTGTTCAAAGTCAAGAATTGCCTGTACGTTAGCTAGGTTACGAGTGTCATTAGGGACCGTGGCCCAGATCAAAATCACAGTTTGTGCCATTTTCCTTTTTTTTTAAATCCAGATTCCACAATCAGGCTTTGGTTGAAGTGGGCATCTTAAATTCCCTGCGACAAAAGGACCAGGATAATACATATAACGTCGTCCACATGAAAGAGTATTTTTGCTTCCGTAATCATTTCTGCATCTCCTTTGAATTACTAGGGTAAGGCCCCGTTCTGCACCTCCAGTAATACTTTTATATACTGATTAAATGTGAATTTGCTGGATATTATTCTCTCAATCTTAGCAGTCCTTCATCCTAACAGGTAGGATTGCATCAGCAGCCATAAATGAGATAGCTTCGGTTTTAGTACTGAGCGCAAATGTTGGTCAATAACATAAGTGACACAAATAAATCTAAGTCTAAATCTAAAATCAATTGACCCAGCAGCAAGGTAATTTGGGAAAGCTCATCTGTTACACCACAGCAGTCCGTTGAACCCCCAAATTATTTGGAAGGCCTGCAAAAACTCTGGATTCGGTTTGATACCTTGAATGATCTCAGAAGCTTTGAACTGAATCACAGCTTTAAAAATGTCAAAGAGTTGCCCTTCAGCTGTTTTTAGAGCCGTTGTGTTTGTGTTGTTAAAACGCTGTTTCTCCTCCCGCAGTTTAAATTTATATGAATTAATCAAGAAAAATAATTTCCAAGGTTTCACCTTGGGTTTGATCCGTCGTTTCACCCACTGCATCTTAAGGTGTTTGCAACTTTTATATACAGAAAAAATTATCCACTGCGATCTGAAGCCTGTAAGTACCATCCTTTCAGTACGGGCGAAGTTTTCAATAATTTTGCTATGTTTGGCAATTTAAAACGTTTTGGTGTAAGAACAGATCGAGACTCTAATTTTTGTTAGACATTGTCAGTGCTCTGGATATGCACAATGAACTTAAAGCTCTTTCTAGTGCTGATCCTACGTAGGTGTTATTTCCGTTGTGCTGTAGAGTTTACAAAAGGCGCGGATGGTACCTAGTTTGATCATGAAAGATCTGTAGGAAACTACCAAGCTCAAAATTTACAAAATTGTCTGCCCCTTGTCTGAGTCTTGCTTAACACAAGAAATAGCTCCCTTAACTAATATACTGCACGATTCATTTTTTTTCTTTTTAAACTATCCTTTATGTTGTCCTATGCCCTAGATTTTTCTATTGTAGCTTATCGGCCTTTGACCCTAGAAAGGCAGTGTACACACACACAACTGCTTAGGAATTTAATATTTAGTACGTAAGCATTTTAGTTTAAAACGCCAGGGAATTCCTGGAAGCCCGGCAAATTGGCCATCAACAGACGCACAGATGTAAACAACGTCTACATACTGTGCAAAAGACAACCAACAAGCCAAAAGGGAACAAAAAGACCAAAACACTTCCCCACCAGCAATTGACACCCCAATGAGTGTAGATTGACACCAAGATTAATATCAGACCAACCAAGAAGGGGGCTATGTGTGTGTGGGGGGGGGCACAACGGAACACATTAAAAATGAAATTTAGTTGCTTGCTCTCAAAGCGTACACATACATAACACACATTTAAACATACTCTATACAACATATGTGTAGACCTACACCTTTACATAAAAGTAACATATAAATATTAATTCTGTCCATCTTAAATACATAACAGAAGGAGGAAGCTTTAGAGTTCACAAGGTTAATACTATATGTGTCATGGTTGCGACAGATGAAACTCTTCAAAGAACTTTGAGGCATTGTTTACCTTAAAGAATTTTTATTCGAGTAGCATAGCATCGGCACTAACACAATCGAAGCCAAAAACTGAGTTCCCCTCCCCTGAGCACATAGTATCAAAGCACAATTCCCTCCTCTAATTTACAGTCATAAATCACATTCTCCAATTAGTTTGAAATGCAGGCTTTCCCTTCAGTTCTCCAACCCGCCATTTCTTATCATCTCTTATTTCAAAAAAACTTGGTTCTCACACTAGTTACAATATTGTTATGTCTAACTAAACTCCCGTGCACATTCCTCCCCCCCCCAGTATCATCTAATTCTAACTCTAATTTAAGAGTAAAACATAAGAAGGAAAATGGCTGTATCTCCATATGTTGTCAAAGCAAAAACATCCGATGTTAGCAGTGTTGACAGTATGACCATCAACCAGGAAGTGCTGGGTCTCCGACTGTCATATGGATCCCGCTCTCAACTACAGTTTAGTGACCCGAGTAGGAAAACAAATGAAGATATCAACAGCTTGCCAACCTGATAGATGAAAATGTACTGATTTTTTCTCCCTTGGACTTATTTATTTATTTTTAATTCCTCAGGAGAACATATTAATAAGCCAATCTTCCGCTGGACAAATTTCATTCAAAGTGATTGATTTTGGATCGAGCTGCTACGAGCATCAAAGAGGTCTGCAGGGTGAAGTAGATAGCAATTCTCTTTCTTGATCCGGTGTACTTTGAATTGAATTTTATTATTCTATAGATGTCAATGAGCATCCTAGATCCTGCCTAAATCTTAGCAGCTCTTCTCAGAGCAAAGCTACATTCAGATAAATACTTTGGGACTGAGCGCTTGTGGATCCTTAATCAAAGGACTCCTGTGATCAGTTTCTGAGTTGTCTCTGTTCAGACGTGTGTTTGGGGGAAGACATGGGTGTCCTGGGATGGAGCTTGGACAAGGATCTCCATTCACATGGACGTTCTCCTTATCAGGCTGTTTCTGCAGGACAGGGCTTCTGAAACCCAACTGGATTTAGTACTGGTGGGATATTTGAAAGCTCCCTTTAGTTCTTTCACCCAGAAAGACAATGCAGGAAAAGAGCAGGCAGAACTAGGGGGCAGAGTTAAGTGCGTCATTAGCCTAGAGTCATTACGTTGCCACAAATGGTCCAAGCCCATCGCCTTTGGAATTCTGTTAACTCTTACCTAGTGCCAATTTAGTAGTGAACTTTAGTTGACGAGATTCTTGTGAATCGGCTTGAGCAATAAATCCTCGGAACTGCAACTTAAGGCATGGTCCTGATCCTTTGTGCTGGACATTCAATTTAGTCAGTTGCAATTCAGAAGACGTATTGCTCAAGCCTGCACACAAGAAACTAGTCAACTAAAGATCACTACTAAATTGTTGCCAGATAAGGGTCAGTGGAATTCAAGACCATTTGCGGCAAGGTAAAGATTCTAAGTTGATGACCCACTTAACTCCACCCCCAGCTCTGCCTGCTACAGATACGGGGTTCATAGGCTGTGGCTTAGATGAGAGTTCCCCAACCTTTTCAGCTTTGCGGATCAGTGGGTGGGAGAGGGGATGGTTCCGGCGAATGTGAGTAAGCGCGCGCACAGCTCCATTTGTGTGAGCAATGGACACCCCTGCCCGCTGTTCACACAAATGGCATGTGCACGCATGCGCTCCCCTGCTGTTTGTACAAGAGGGGATGCGCGCGCGTGTGTGCACTCATGTCAGAGCATGCACAGTCTTATTGCGCTGAGGTAGCCCAAGAGTAAATACTGTACACAGTGGTTTGTATTTAAATGTGGTTTATATTACACACTATCTACAGATATACACTCGAAACAAGATACATACACATGGTGAAATAGCAAACTCCAATGTACAGCAATTACAGCAGGGAACGGACGAGAGAGAAAAGGCAGCAGCAAAGCCTTCCCTTTTATACTCAAGTTCTTAAAGGGATACACACACCTGCTGAGTCATAACTAACATTGCATCACTCATCTCACATTATACAAGCTGCGATTTCTGCGACTCAAGGCCCAGAGGTGGGCCGCGGCCCCCTGGTTTAGAACACCAATTTGGGGCTCATAGGAAGGATTGGCTACTTCTAACAAGATCAGAGATCTTTGGCAAGTGTCCTCCAAAGCAAAGGGGGAGGACTGGGAACCAGTCTAGACAGAGGTACAGACTGGGGTGGAGGTTCATATTGCAGGAATAAGCCATGTAAACAACTGCTTTGAAACAACAGAGCAGAACGACATTAGATCGATTGGCACAAAGGGAGGGTGACTTACTGAGCAAATCAGAGAAATACTGGGGGGGGGAGTCATTTTTGGTGGTGACTGAGCTATCCTCCCTCACAATTGTTTTCCTTTGATGCCCATTTTCCCTTTCTCGTTCGCTTTAGTGTACACGTACGTCCAAAGCCGGTTTTATCGTTCTCCAGAAGTCATTCTGGGCCACCCGTACACGACCTCCATTGACATGTGGAGCTTGGGCTGCATCATGGTTGAGCTCTACACGGGGTACCCACTTTTCCCAGGGGAAAATGAGGTGGAACAGCTTGCCTGCATCATGGAGGTACCTTCTGTTATGTCGCTAATGAAGCAATTTTGGAAATTTGTTCCATTTTAACCGGCCCTCACCTAAACTGAGATGTCGAGTTTTGTGCATAGAATGGAATGGAATGGAATGGAACGAAATAGACACTAGAATAGAATAGACACTAGACCAGACTAGACTGGACTGGACTGGACTGGGATGGAATATGGAATATGGAATATGGAATATGGAATATGGAATGGAAGAATAGAATAGAATGGAATGGAACAGAATAGACACTAGAATAGAATAGACCAGGGGTAGTCAACCTTGGCTCTCTTATGACTCGTGGACTTCAATTCCCAGAATTCCTGAGCCAGCTTAGCTGGCTCAGGAATTCTGGGAGTTGAAGTCCACGAGTCATAAAAGAGCCAAGGTTGACTACCCCTGGAATAGACACTGGACTGGATGGGATGGGATGGGATGGGATGGAATGGAATGGAATACGGAATGGAATGGAATGGAACAGAATAGACACTAGAATAGAATAGACACTAGACTGGACTGGACTGGGATGGGATGGAATATGGAATGGAACATGGAATACAATGAAATATGGAATGGAAGAATAGAATGGAATGGAATGGAATAGAATAGACACTAGAATAGAATAGACAGTAGACTAGACTGGACTGGACTGGGATAGAATGGAATGGAATATGGAATGGAAGAATAAAATAGAATAAGAATAGAATGGAATGGAATACAATCCCTCTGGTTTTTCTTTCGTGTTAAAGATCTTAGGACTTCCACCCTCTGATTTCATTCAAACGGCATCAAGAAAACGAACATTCTTTGGTAAGCATCGATCATTACGGAATGATTCGCTTAGTGGCTATAATTACGATGAAAAAGTCTCCATTCTGAGGACTGCTTTATGACGGTTGTTAAAAATCTGTTTCCCTCTTTTACAGATTCCAACGGCGTTCCGAAAACCGTCACGAACAGCAGAGGGAAAATAAGGAATCCAAATTCCAAAGATCTCAACGCCATGTTGAAAATACACGACGGGACCTTTCTGGATTTCCTCAAGAAGTGCCTTGTGTGAGATTTTTTTTATTTATTAATTTTTAATTGTTTGGCTAAATGCTGCTTTATTTTCCTATGCTTTTTTTAAAGTAACTTTGGAGAAATGGATAACTGTAGGGAAGTTATTTTTGGATAGCTTAATTCCGTATTTTGTCAATTATAAAGTTGGAGGTCTTCTAGTCTAACCCCCTGCTCAGGCAGGAGACCCTATACCATTTCAGACAAATGGCTGTCCAGTCTTTTCTTAAAAACTTCCAGTATTGGAGCATTCACAACTTCTGGCGGCAGGTTGTTCCATTGATTAATTTTTTCCAACTGTCAGGAAGTTTCTCCTTAGTTCTAGGTTGCTTCTCTCCTTGATTAGTTTCCATCCGTTGCTTGTTGTCCTGCCTTCAGGCGCTTTGGAGGACAGCTTGACTCCCTCTTCTTTGGGGCAACCCCTGAGATACTGGAAGACTGCTATCCTGTCCCCCCTCGTCCTTCTCTTCATTAAACTGGACATCCCCAATTCCAGCAACCGTTCTTTATATGTTTTAGCCTCCAGTCCCCTAATCATCTTTGTTGCTCTTCTCTGGACTTTCTAGAGTCTTAGCATCTTTTTTACGTCGTGGTGACCAAAACTGGATGCAGTATTCCAAGTGTGGCCTTACCAAGGCCTTGTAAAGTGATATTAACCCTTCACGTGATCCTGATTCTATCCCTCTGTTAATGCAGCCCAGCACTGTGTTGGCTTTTTTGGCAGCTGCAGCACACGGCTGGCTCCTATTTAAGGGATTGTCTACTAGGATTCTGAGATCCCTCACAGTTACTACTATTGAGCAAGGTACCCCCTATACTATACCTGTACATGATTTGTCTAAAATTCATCTGTGTTTATCCTCTTTTTGTACCAAGATGGAAGCCTTCTTTGCGCATGATCCCAGAAGAAGCGATCCACCACACGTGGATGGAGGACCCGTGGCCACCCAGACTGAGACAGAAGCCCAAGACCGCCGCAAAGCAGAGCGAAGAGAAGAAAAAGGAAAACGTTCATAAAAATACCCAGATAGAAAAAGGAGGTTGTTTAATTTTAGTTCTTGTTTCCTTTTTCAAAACAGTTCAAAGCTCTACGTGCAGTCCTCAACTTATAACCATCCATTTAACGGCCGTATGAAGTTAGGACAGTGCTTTTTTAAAAAAAGGGACTGAGGACCCCTCTTCCCACTTATAACTGCCCCCACGGTCGTCTGCTCAAAGTTTGGGCACAACAGTTACAACATCCGGGGATCCCATGATCGCCACTTCCCGGGGGACCCGCAAAATCAACAGGGGAAGCTGGATTCGCTTCACAAGTGTGTGATCCGCTGAACGACTGTGGCCAAAGTCATAAAATCTGGCGTGACTTGCTTAGGAGCCCCAGTGGGCGCCGTGGTTAGAAGATGGTATTGCAGGCTAGCTCACTGCCTACTGCCGGGAGTTCGATCCTGACCGGCTCAAGGTTGACTCAGCCTTCCGTCCTTCCGAGGTCGGTAAAATGAGGACCCAGATTGTTGGGGTGGCAATATTATGACTCTGTAAACTGCTTAGGGAGGGCTGTAAAGCACTGTGAAGCAGCATATAAGTCTAAGTGCAATTGCTATTGCTATCTAAGCCATGGCGGCGCAGTGGTTAAAGTGCAGCGTTGCAGGCAAACTCTGCCCACTGCCTGGAGTTCGATCCTGATGGAGCTCAAGGTTGACTCAGCCTTCTGTCCTTCCGAAGTCAGTAAAATGAGAACCCAGATTGTTGGGGGGCAACAGGCTGACTCCGCTTAGACAGGGCTGTAAAGCACTGTGAAGCGGTATATAAGTCGAAGTGCTATTGCTATCTAAGCTATGGCGGCGCAGTGGTTAAAGTGCAGTATTGCAGGCAAACTCTGCCCACTGCCAGGAGTTCGATCCTGACCGGCTCAAGGTTGACTCAGCCTTCCATCCTTCCGCGGTCGGGCAAATGAGGACCCGGATTGTTGGGGGCAATAAGCTGACTCTGTAAACCGCTTAGAGAGGGTTGTAAAGCACTGTGAAGCACTATATAAATCTAAGTGCTACTGCACTAATTTCTGCCCCCACTTTTAGTCATTAGCTGAGGACCACACCCTTTGCAAACTACACCGTGAGCTTGACCTACACTCATTTCATGAAAAAAATTTTTCCTGAAGATGTGTACAGCAATCTGTTTTGGTTTTTTTTTAGTTTTTAAGAAGCAGCTGGATAGCTGCCTTTGAGGTGTGGTTTAATTGTTTTTTTTTTTTTGCACGTTGCAGAGGGCTGGACTAGATGATCCCTTTGGTTCCCTCCAGCTCCACAGTTCTATGATTCTATGACTTCTCTTGTCAAGCTGGGTGGCAGGAAGCAGAGCAGGTAGTCTTCATTAGATTAAAAAAACAACAACCCAAAGGGGCACAACATTCGCAATAAACTCGAAGTGAGAAAAGAAAAATTAATTTAAAAAAAACTATTCTGAGAGGGTGGCTGTAGGCTGGAATTTGTCACAATTATTTCCTTTTGGCTGCTGTCATCATCTTAGGTTGGGCCGGCTTGTGCCAGTAAAATGACACTATTTTAATGAAGAATAATAATACTACATAATAATGCAACGAATTTTCTAATCCCATCAAATATCCACATCTGCCTGTCCCAGGTCCTTGGGAAGAACTTGATAGGGGAATAAAAATGCCAGATCTGTGTCACAAACTAGAATAAAATAAAACGATCCAAGGGGCTTGTGAGTTATCACAAAGAATGCTGGAAGTTAAAATACAGCCACTTTTAGGAAAATCCTATTAGGAGAAGATCGAAGAAATATATTATTAATTGATATCCTAGTTATGGAAATATCAAAAATAATTATTATCGATTGTTAATTAACTATTATTGACTGTATGTTTTTTCTCAAAAGTTTTTTTGAGCCAAGACAACACGCTGTACACTAGGCAGTGAGGATTGTTATCGCAAAAAAAAACCAATAAAACTTTTATAAAATAAATAAATAAAATGCAGCCACTTTTATGCCAAGTCCTGTTTCTTGTACAGTTGTGCAATTACGAACCTCAAGTTTCAATGCACCATGGCCCCTCCTCACACACATCCCTACTGGAGCTTCGACAGTGAGCTGACGGAAGTAGGAATATTTATTTATGTCTTTATGTATTGGCCACCCATCTTATCCAGGTTAACTCTGGGCAGCTTACAATAACAACAACAACAACAATAATAATAAACCTTTCTCTTTAGTCCATAACTGGGGCAAGGCATACCCAAGTTCCTTTTGGGAAGCGAAGTAAGCCTGGATGAGTCGTTAGCAGGATTACAGACAGTTCAATTTACAATCTTAATTTAGTGGCCATTCAAAGTTAGGAGGGCAGTGGAAAAAGTTACAAGTGGTCCTCGCACAATAGCCGCAGCGTCACTACGGCCATGTCGTCGAAATTTGGTCTTTCTGGCACGTATTCACTGGCATAAGAGGTGGTTTTGATTAGATTTGAAAGCAAGAGTCCGTGGGGGAAGCCGCGTGGGGTTAAAAACCCTGCGATTCCCTTAACAACCGTGAAGTCATAAAATTAGGCACTGCTTACTTAACAACTGCCTCGCTTAGCAATAGAAGTTGTGGTCCCAAATTCTAGTCGTAAGTCGGGGATTACCGGTGACCTGAAAGCTTGGATAGCGGCTAATAAGCGCCGTGCGTTTGCGGCTCTCTGCTTTTAGCGTTCCAGCTGAGCGATAACCTTTTACGTCTTCCCGTTCTGCAGATGACATCGTTCGGCAACAGCCCAGCACGGAAGCCAAATCGGATCCGCCTGAAAAATTACCTGTTTCGTATCGAAAGTGTTCCGCCCTTGCGGTGTCCCCAGAAATAAATAAAGAAGAAAAGCAGAGCCCGGGTAAACGGGATAGTCCAGCGAAAGAAGTGGAACCACCGGTGGATAAAGCTGCTAAAAGAGAACACAGGGCCGGGAAGGCCTTGCGCAAAAATACAAGCACGTTGCCACCCATTAAGCACAAACAGTGATTGATTCTCTTTCCGTACAGTTTCTAGATAAATATTTTGCTGTCACATGTTCCAGAACAGAAATTTAATGCCTCTCTCTACCCGTGGTCTGTGCGCTTTTATTGGTGGCGTTGTGGAAGTAAACCTCGCGGTCTCACAGCGTCGAATCGTGGACTCCTAAGGAACTGATCATGCTCCCCCCACCCAAAAAAAAAGATCGTATGAAAAATGCCGTGAAATACAGGAATTTGGGTATTCGAGCAATAAACGGTGGTTCGTTCCTTAAAGCTGGAAATTGATCAGGAAGCTGGATTCACGTACTACATGCATTAATAGATCCGTGAGATTAACAGAATGAGTTTTAATAAAAAATAATGTTACAAATTCAAGATAAATAATATCTATAAGATGGTTGAAGTAGAAAAACCAAATAACATTTCAAGCAAAACGTCTCTGGCTGTTTCTGTTTTGTTTGGCAAAGGGGAGACTTATAGAAAGAAGAATCCTCCATAAAGCTAAGGATTACAACATAGCTAAGAAAAAAGATGAAGGTTCAGGACTGGTACAGCAACTTGTCAGAAATGGTGTAGGGCAGTGATGGCGAACCTTTTAGACACCGAGTGCCCAAACCGCAACCCAAAACCCAATTATTTATCCCAAAGTGCCAGGGCCTCATCAACATTGTGGTGCCCTCGGGGGGGGCAGGGAGGCGCCTCTGAGTGCCGCCTCTGGCACGCAAACACCGGGGTCTCAAAAGGCCACCGTGCTGCAAGGCGCAAAAACGGCCGTCGCCACATCATGGGGTGCAGATACAAGGCGCTGCACCACATAAGAACGGGCCAGGGCTAGTGAGTATCACACAGACACTAGCCCTGCCCCATTTGCAGCAGGTGCTTGCCCGCAGCCCCATGCACGCATGCACGCATGTAAAATGCTTCCCCCTCCCTTTTCTTCCAGTCCACCAATCGACAATGGTTGGTGACCTCTGCTCTACCACCTCTACTCGAGCTTGCTAGTCGGCCGCTTTGTCTCCTTTGTGCTGGGCGGGGCTCCTGCTCGGGGCGACGGGGGCGGCCTGATGGACCTGCTGCTGGCGGTGGTGGCGCCCGTGCCAACAAAGAGGGCTCTGAGTGCTGCCTCTGGCATGCATGCCATAGGTTCGCCACCACTGGTGTAGGGTCTCCTTGTTTGAGCAAAGGGTTGGACTAGATGACCTACTACAAGGTCCCTTCCAACTCTGTTATTCTGTAATAAGGGTGTCCCAAAAGCAATAGCAGACCATTTTAGCTTAGGTTAATAGTTAATAGCTTGAGAATAAAATGTTGGACGGAATTTCCGGGGTGCTGGTGCAGATAATACGTTTGTGATGACACCAGAAAAAGATTTATCGAAGGGCTAATTGATTGGTGAACATTCAGAAGAAACAGGGAAAGGCGCACGGTGGCTCAAGTGGCTGGGATACTAGGCAGGAGGTTAGCAAGTCTGCATTTAGGAGGTGAGCAAGTAAATATGCAAGGAAGACAATAAGGATTTGGGGACCTGATGGAAGGTAACTTCTTCTGAAGAATGGAGATGCAACAAGCAAGAGTCATCCTGATGGAAAAGAACTCTCCATAAAACCTGAAAGCAAATATCTTAAAAGAAAGATGGTTTTATCTCCCTTCCAGTTCGTTCACCAGATCTGGATTTGGGAATATGAGTAGTCCATTAAAGTAATTCCCTAGGACAGTGGTGGCAAACCTATGGCACGCGTGCCAGAGGCAGTACTTGGAGCCCTCTCTGTGGGCACACGTGCCGTTGCCCCAGCCTTGCCTCCACACGCGACCCCCTCACCAGCAGCCCCTCTGGAGGAGTCGCCCCTGAGTGTGGCCCATGCAGAGCAGCGCAGCCAAGGACATGGCAGCCAGGCAGCGTAGACAAGACTCTGCCCTCACGGAGTGTGGGCAGAAGGCGTGGCCACCATGGTACTGCTGGGCTACCTGGGCGATCTGCAGCAGGTTCTGGAGGCGGTGAGTGGCCCTGCGGGCAGGCGGGGTGGGGGCAGGGCAGGGGGTGGAGCGGGGGCGGGTTTTGGGCACTAGGTCTCTAAAAGGTTCGCCATCACTGCCCTAGGGCAGTGATGGTGAACCTTTTAGAGACCGAGTGCCCAAACTGCAACCCAAAACCCACTTATGTATCGTCGGGTGCCGGTGGGCGTGTCCCATTGGGTGGGCATGGCTGCGGTGGTAATGGCAGACTGGGCAGGACTAAAAAGTTCAATCAATTCCAACTTTGCAAGATCTTTTTTTTTCCCGCGAGAAGTTGAAATTGACTGATGGATTGAACCTTTTTTTTTTTTTGCACACGGCAGCGGAGGCCTAAAGCGAAAAGGTTTCATAAAACCCAGCTGAAGGCCTAGGACTGGGGCGATGGCGCACGTGCCCACAGTGAGGGCTCTGAGTGCCGCCTGTGGCACGCGTGTCATAGGTTTGCCACCACTGCCCTGGGGGGGGGGAAGTGTGCTTGTAACATTCTGGCTGCTTATTGAGGGGGCATGGTTTTGCGTGTTGTTGCCTGCATTGCAGGACTTGATAGGTGGACAAAAATGCCAAGTCCACTCTCAACATCTGGCTGATTGTGCGATGGACCACCATAACAAAAACAACAACAACAGCAATAGAGCTTGGCCCAAAGGCCTGGAAATAACACTGCCCACCACCGTGTAAGTATTTCCTTCTTTTATTCATTTCACTGCTCAGCAGGGGTTGGGGGGAATCAGTAAAACTCATATCATCTTTGACCAATGAGTTCTGTAACAAGGAAAACTAACAGGGCAAGGAGAGGCCTGCGGTCCCGAAGAGATGCTGGCCTTACAGGTTCTGAAGCAGCCAATCCAGGACTGGCAACCGCACAAAGTTGCCCAGGGCTTCTCCCAGCTGCCTTTCCTTCTCGTATTTCAGCACGGATTGCATGACGTCGCCCACGCTGTAGTTTCTCTCCACCGCCACCGTGGAGAGTTGTTGGAGCTGCAGGAGAGGACAAGCGGGTTAGAGGAGAAGGGAAACTGCCAAGCGGGTGAACAGGCGGTCCTCGAACCTATGACCACAACTGAGCCAAAATTTCCGTTGCTAAGTGAGACGTTTGTTAAGTGAGCTTTGCCCCCTTTTGCCTGGTTCTTAAGTGAATCGCTGCAGTGGATCAGTTAGTAACACGGTTGTTAAGTGAATCTGGCTTTTCCCCCTTGACGCTGCTTGTCAGAAAGTCGCAAAAGGGGATCACGTGACCCCGGGACGCTGCAAACGGTCATAAATAGGAACCAGTTCCCAAGCACCGAATTTTGATCGCGTGATCAGGGGGATGCGGCAAATGTTGTAACTGTGGAAAGTGGCCGTAAGTCCCTTTTTTCAGTGCCGTTGTAACTTTGAACGGTCACTAAACAAACTGTTGTAAGTCAAGGACCACCTGTACTTTCTCTCACTAAGACCCATCCTTCCTTTTTCCAAAATTCTCCTCTCCCGCCCTCCTTAACAACTGCAGGGGTTCGTTTTTCACAATCGTGGCAAAAAAGGTCGTAAAACGGGGACACAACTCACTTTACCCGTCTTGCTTAGCAATGGAAATTTTGCCATAAGTCGAGGATTAAAAAGGTGAAGCTTTCCCCTGTCCAGTTGTGTCTGACTCTAGGGCATGGTGCTCATCTCCATTGCTTGCCAGCATTGTCCGAAGACATTTCTATGGGTCTGTGGTTGACATGACTATACGCCAAAGGCGCAGGGAATGCTGTCAGCTTCCCACCAAAGTGGTACCTATTTATCTACTCACCTTCGCGTGCTTTCCAGCTCTACCCATCTATAATTATAAAAAGGAACAGAAAAGGTGCTTCTGCTCCTTCAAACATGAGCAGAACCCCAATGCTATCCTAGTTTGTCTTCTCGTCGCACACTATTCCCCCACACCCTCCCAGCGTTTCCATTTGTACCTTGTTCAGGGTTTCCTCGTCATCATCCATGAAGTACAACATTGGGACGTTCAACTGAGAGGCTGCCACCCATTGGAGAATGGCTTGGAGTTGCTTGTTGTGAATGTTTTCCGGAGCACACTGGTTAGCCACAACCACCTTGCGCCCAGTAGGCGTGTCTTCTCCAGACTCTGCTCTGCTTTCTGCATTTCCCAAGCACTTTGAGAAGAAGCCTCCACCCATGTCCTCTCCATCTCCGAATTCTCCAAGTCCTGACTCAGGACCGCTGTATTTGGCGATCATCAGGCACAGCTTGGTCACCGTATCGATCAGTTTCTCAAAGAAGGGTCCGCTCCCTCCTTCTTTCTTGTTGACATCGCACTGGTCCAGAATCATTTTGGTCAGTCCAGCTATAGCGTCTTCATAAGAACGGTCTATCTCGCCAGGTCCTGAAGGACCTGGGCCTTGGCCTTCAGGAATCTTGAAAGCATTCCTGGTTGCTTCATCAGCCATCAGTGTCCCTGAATTTCCTCCTAATTTGTTGACGGTCTCGTTGATGAGCTTCTGGATCAGCATTACCATCACGCTCGACATATCGTTCTCCGCGTTCATGCCAAATTGCTCATCTTCACATGGCTTCAAAGTGTCGGGCAGTTTTAAAGAGCCAAGGCCTATATCTGGGGCCATAAAACCCAGGCCGCCAGGGGCCTTGCTGGATCGGCCCCCTTCCACTGCATCCTTCACGGCGTTCTCCTGCTGCACCAGATGATATTGTATCAGCAGCAACGCTGTCACAATCAGGTCTCTTGCCCAAGAATCAGTGGTGAGATTTGAAAGGTCTGGAATGTCTTGGGTTGGCGAAGGCTTGGCGGGCATTGGGGTTGACCTTGTATCATCCTGATGTTGCTTCTGATGCCACATGTTGAGACCCTCTTTGATGATATGATTACCGACCGTTTCTGCACAGGTCATTTCTTTATCTTTCATGGTTTCCGTTTTCGCCGCCGAGAACCTCATGTTCTGAGTCTTGGTCTCGGTGCCCCGGCCGGTTTTGATAGTTGCAAAGGCCATGCTCTGGGACTTG